GTGAACAGCTTGTAGATGACAGACAACAGGTAGATCGGGCAGTAGTTGCCAATGTCATGGATGTCTCCCTTCTTATACAGTAGTACAGTCCTGCTGGTTTTCCATTGGGATGGAACCTTGCATTCAGACAGGTTGCATGTGAAAAGCCACACCAGTGTATTGATGAGTACTGATGGCAGGTTCTTCAGGTGTTCGGGACTGACCTTGTCTGGGCCGGCCCGGTGCTGTTTGCTTCTTTACCGACAAAATGGCATGTCAGATTTCGGAAGGGAGAACATTGGGAATGACATATACATCCTGCGGAATTTGGTATGTGGGCAGGTGGATGTGGCTATCTAAGAGATCCGAGTAGAAGTCATGGATAATCTCCATTGCCCTTCTGGAAGATGTGATAGATCCATCAGGACACCGGAGGGCAGTCATCTTGGTCTTGTAATTGGCGAAGGACAGGTGGGCATTGTGAATGCTTTTCTCGGCTCCTGCTGTATCTGCCAGCACTGCTGCTCTTCTCTCTTTGAGGTCTTCCTTTATCGCTTCCCTGCACTGCTTTGCAAACTTGGATGTTTGCTTGCAGTTGCCTGAGGCTTGCGCCAAGCCACATTGGCAAATGATTTCGAGAGTTTTCGAAGACAGGCTTTGTTGCTACTGTGCTTGGAATATCGAATACATCACGGACAGCTTGCCAGGCTCTGCCATGCGGGCGAGATACTCTCGGTAGCTTGCCGGGCTCTCCGAGAGGGGCGGAGGAATCGAACTCGGGTCGGCCATGTTGGCTGCATGCAAGGCAAACGCCCTACCGCTGTGCTGTCGCTCCAGCCCACATATATATGTACATACATATGTATGTACATATATACATGTATCTTTTTGTTAATGGCTCTCATCTGTAACATGAATTCCTAGGAGTGATTGGGTCAAAGATGAGCACATTTAAGGTTCTCTTATATTTGTAAACAGTCCTGTGGGGTGGTGCCATTGTGGGGGTCATAATTCTAAACACTTCCACTCTCTCAGGTTAGAAAGCAGAATTGGGAACCAGAGTGATAGTACCGCAGGTAGGGCATTTGCTGGCATATTTCTGACCCAGGTTAGATTCCTGATATCCCATGTGGTTCCCTGAGCACCGCCAGGAGTCATCTCTGAGTGCAGATCCAGGAGTAACTCCTGAGCATCCCCGGAGGTGGCCCCAAAACCAAAACAAAACCAACAAAAAAGGCAAAGCTTCAGTTAAAAAGGTATTTCCTTTGCAGAGAATAAATTGTAAAGATGATCTTCATTTGCATTGTCTTCTGGATTGGGAGAATGGCAGAGATATACAAAGGTTAAGGCGCTTGCCCAGCAGGCAGTGCAATCGTGACCCTGTTTGACATCTCATATGGTCCCCCAGGACCACCAAGCATGGCCCTGAGCACTGCTGGGTGTAGCCCCCATCTATAAATATTCTCACAGGGGGCCTTGGTCTGTGGCTCAGTGTTTGGACTTGTAAGACTCTGGGTTGGATCCCCTGTACCATCTTTATCACCTAGTACCAAGATGTAGCTCTTGGCACCACCACAACAAAAGAAACATATTTACATGTTTGTCCACTTTTCATTCTAATTTTCAGGTTAATTTGTAGGAGTCCTTTGTATATGAGGCACAAATACTTGTCCCAATTTATTACCCATGTATAGGCATTTCTGTTGTATGAAGACCTTGTTTTTAATTGGATTATCTTCAAACCCCATCCTTGATTGAGATATAATAAAACAAAATTATAGCACAGCGGGTAGAGCGTTTGTCTTGCACACGGCCGACCTGGGTTCAATTTCTCTGCCCCTCTTGGAGAGACTGACAAGCTACCAAGAGTATCTTGCCTGCACTGCAAAGCCTGGCAAGCTCCCAGTGAGTGACATATTCGATATGCCAAAAACAGTAACAACAAGTCTCACAATTTGTTCTAAGATGTTACTAGTGCCCTCTCCAGCAAATCAATGAACAACAGGAGGACAGTGCTACAGTGTTATTAAAATCAGTACTAGTTAAAATAGTACGAGTATAAATATTCAGAACTCATTGCTAATTATTAAGTTGTCTAATTTTTCCCTGTTTCTGCCATGATTGTTTGAATATGTGGAAGCCTGGTGATCTCTTGAAAAAAATTTCAGTTAATTCCGTTTAGGTCCCCAGGGTAATAATTATCCCTGTTGTAGAAAGGACTCTTTTATGTCGTTCTGATTTGGGGGCTCTTGTTCAAGAGGAAGGTGGCTCAGCAGCCTGATACAGAGCCCCGCCCCCTCCGCTCTGCAAGCCTGCAGGGGGCGCTCTCACCATGTTAACCCAGTCAACCTGTGTATCAAGGACCCTGATGACATCACCTTCTACAGTTCTCTGGCCCATCCTTCCATCTGAAATTACTGTTTAGCTGTATATCATGTCCTTAAATGTACCACCATTTATTTAACCAACGCCTGTTTAGAGACAATTCGTTTCACTTTTTTTTTTACTATGAAAAACAGTATTCACAATATAAATAACAAAGGTGTCCACAACATAAACAAAAAGGATTTCAAAATGATTTTATTTTGCAAATAATGCAATCCACATAAGTAATTACATACATCCTCAATTTGGGAAGACGTTGAAAATGATCCAGGGTCCAAAGCTCATTACACAAACCCATGTTAAATTTATTCCAAGTGTCTAAACAACCAAGCACTGATAAGCAAAGCCCAGATTTGCGGGGGTTTTGTTTTCCGCTCTAAGATGTCTGTTTATACAGGAAATCAAGAGCAAGGAAGATAAAGGCGCTGTGAAAGGCAGCTGGGGATGCCTTCAGCTTGGAAGGAAGACGCTTGGCTTTCGCTTTCAGCCCCTTTGCTCTAACTGGGTCTTCAGCCCCTAACACACCCCACACATCCTCCATGTCAAAGCTGACCACGGCTTTGCCCCTCTGACCATGCCTTCCCCATCTGGCCCGGCTATGCCTAGGGTGCTGCTTGAGTAACACCTGATCCTTGCCAGCACTAGGCAAGCCCCCTCAGACCAAGCAGTCACTTTACTTTTGTCGTTCCTTTGTCTGGTAAACCCTAGCAGCCTTCTTCTAAACACAGCGTATCCACTTGTGGATGCTGAGGGGCATCGTGCCAGCTGTGAACTTGAGCTCAGATTTAGGTCAAAACACGGAGGTGATTAGTTCACTGAAACTCTTGGCTGCCCTTCCTCTGAGGCTGAGCGGTGGGGGCAGGGGTCCCCCTGCTGGCCGTGAGGGTGTCGCACGGATGCGATTCTGAGCTGCCCTGCTCAAGGGCAGGGAGCCTCCCTCTCCCCTCTCTCCCTCTTCCCCCACTTTCCCCTCCTCTCTCCTCCTTTCCCTCCCCTCCCTCCTCTCTTGCCCTCTCTCTCTCTCTCCCTCATTTCTCTCCCTCTCTTTTATCTCTTTCCCTCTTCCTCTATCCCTCTGTCCTCTTTCTGTCTTTGTCTCTCTCCCCCCACCAAATCCCGCCCCCCCATCTCACACACACACACACACACACACACAGAGGTTTACATTGTTATTAGCACTGAACATATAGAATTACCTAGGACACTTGACAGCATTTTAGTAAAGAGAAGGTAAAGAAGCCCCACCTCTGGGAATCAACGCGGCGATGTAACTCCAACACCGGTGGCTGACACCAGGCTCACTCAACTCATCCCCCATAAGGGAGGCAGAGCAGAGCGAGCAGAGCAAGCTGAGCCAGCCCTCCACCCACTCTCGCCCTCCTCCTGTTGCTGCATGAGAAGGAGCTGTGCGTTCCCAGGTCACAGGCGAGGAGTCCGAAACGGAAATACAGACCCAGACCATGGCGCGGTGACGTGCCACAGGCCGCCCTGTGCAGTCGAGAAGCCCCTCTCAGGCCTGCCTCAGCTGCCACCAGAGGCAGGACACGCCCTGATGCAGGCTCACACAGCCCCCATCAGGGACTGTTCCTTTGGGTCCCCCTGCTGGGGTGGGGCCTAAAGCCATGGACCTGGACCCTTCTGGAAAGGCCTACTCTCATCAAGGGACAATTAGCTTCCAGAAGTGTCAAATTCAGAAACACATAGTTGAGCAGTGGTTGTCAGGCCCAGAGGAGGAGGCAACAGTTTAGTGGTCACCCCTCGGCCAGGGATGATGCAAAGTCCAGGGATCTGTCACACATTTAACACCATGGAGCTGCACACTTGGGATGAAGATGATCCATTTGGGGATTTTGTTTGTTTGGAGGGGGGAGCAGGCCCAACTGTGCTGGGGGCTTACTCCTAGTTCTGCACTCAGGGATCACCCCTGGCAGGGCTTGAGGAACCCTATGTGATGCCAGGGATCAAGCCCAGGTCATCCCCATGTAAGGGAACCATCCTTCCCATTTGCACTAGTGCTCCAGCCCCTGATGGTCCATTTTAAGTGCATTTTGCCACACTGAAACATTCGAAATAAAAAGAATTGGAATTCCTTGTAATTTCTTAGAAGAAAGAGATTGTTGCTTTTCTGGGAGATTTCTGGTAAAGGGGAAATTTCTTCCGAGAGGGACTGCACTCAAAATCTTGCTATAACTCATTTCACCCAAGACGCATGGAGTTTTCCCCAAGACAAAGCATCAATTTTCCCCGAACTTTCAATCCACCTACACAGCTTTCTTCATCCTGAATAAGCGCTGCATCCCAGAGCAGCAGCAGCGCAAGCACGCACGCCACCAGTATGGGTCCGTGTCTCACACCCATTTCTCTCTTACGTGGTCACACGGAAGTCTCTTAACAGAAGAGCAAAATACCACAGAAAAATAGATGAGGAGCACGTGGATCTCACTGAGGAGGTCTGAGTCATCTCATTCCTCCCTTTCTTCCACGTGGGATCAGGCCCTGGACCATGGACCTGGCCTGGCACACACAAGGAGCTGGCTGCTGAGACACAGAAGAGAACTGGGCAGGGACAAGAGTCTCGACAGAAGCCAGGGTGGCAGCTTCCCTGTCTTCCAGTCATGGGTCCTTCAGGCTCCACGTCAAGCGCTCAGAGTTGGGGGCTCTGGAGGTAGTTGTCGCCGGCCAAGACGGTCAGGCTCATCCAAGGCAGGGGCTTCATCCTCAGGAGCAATCTCACACTCAAACATCCGCTGCAGCAAAGCATCTGCAGTTCTGTACTCTGGAAAGGAGGGAAGGGTGTGCGTGAAGTCGCGGGTCGGGGTGGGGGTGAGGAGGGGGGAGAGGGCAGCCAGTGGAGGCTGCTGCCCCGAGCATGAAGGGAAGACTGGACAGTCACAGCAGACTCAGCGGACTCCTGCTGTGCCCACAAAGCTGCCCAGCCATGGGAGAGCAGACCTGGGAGAAGGTTCTGCCTCAGGGTGGGTGGCAGGAGCAGACCCCTGACCCCATCTGCGTGTGCTCCTCAGCCCAGCAGGCACCTGTCAGCTGCTGCTGCTGCAGTCGGGCTGGCTGGATTCGTGTCATTCAACAAAGAGAGTTCAGATTCAGCTCCTGACACCCAAAGCAGCCTTGCACCCCCAGGTCCTGGTGTTTTACTACCAGCCTGGTGGCTGAGAATCATCAGTGGGGCCCAGGTCCTTCTGAGCACCTCTTGGGAGCACCCCGCCTCCTCCCCCCCAAAAAAAAACAGTGAAAGAAATAAGTGAGCAGGTTTTCAGGGCGTGTGAAGCCCTCGGAGACAACAAAGAACAAGACAGAAATCCCCACACACTCCTGTCTGCCAGGTTCTCCACCCTCCACAAGGCATGTGCAGCTGAGTGTGCTGGCAGAAGAGAGCAGGGCTTCATGCATGGGCACCTCATCTCAGGGAAGCAGGGCACTAGGGGAGGAGGGAGGGTTTTCCCGAGGAGGTGCCGTCTGGACATGAAACAGGAGGCACCCTAGTGGCAGGAGTGGGAGGAGGTGAGCCGAGGGGGCAGGGCACGTGCAAAGGTCCCAGGGTAGACAGGCCAGGGTAGCAGAGCCAATTCAAGAGCAGGCTGAAGAGCACAAATCTAGCGGTCCTGGCGGGAAGGAAGAGAGGCAGGGGCAAGAGAAAAAGCAGGCTAGTGTGAAGGGAGGCGAGAGAGGGCTGTCCTGAGCCATGGTTAGCCAATGCAGATTCACCTTCTGGAAACATCTCGCCTGCTACAGATTGGAGGGAGTTTCCCGTTGTGTCAGCACTTACTCTTAGATGCAATCCTGAAGTATAAGCCTTTCAAGGCCTTCCTCTGGCTGTCTCCATCATCCCTACTGAAGCCATTGTCCTTTACGTCCATGTTGGCAATGAGGGCCCCATCGTTGTCCTCGTCCCTTCAAGGAGGGAGGGGGGGGGACAGGATAGTCTTAGGCTCTCAGCCATGCTCCTCACCTCGTGGGTCTCCCAGACATGCCCCCAAGGTACCATGTGTTACCGTGTGTGCTCAGCCAGGCCCACAACGCTCATACAATGGGTGAGGGGCATTCAAGGTCAGTTCACAGGACCAGCTGGGACTCTCAGGAAGGGACCTTCAGGACCACTGGTGCCTGTTCCACTGCCAAATGTCTGGGGATGATATCAGGAGACCCCACTACTCACTCTTGGACTCCCACTCCTAGCTCTTGGATCTTCTTTTCTATAGCAGTTTCTACTTCACTTTTTTCCAGTGAATATGCCACGAAAAACGCCTCCAAGATGAATGCTATAAAAATGCTGAGAAGCCAGAGAGAGCACAGGGGGTAAGATACCCGCCTTGCACATAGCCAACCCACATTCCACCTCCAGAGCCCCAGAGAGTGCCCAATGCCTGCTAGGAGTGATGCGTGAACACAGAGCCATGAGGAAGCCCTCAGCATGGTTGGTGAAGTGAGCCCTGAACCAGAATACATAAAACTGCTGAGAAATCCAAGGGAAGGGGCGGGAGAGCAAGTCCACTGTAGCCCCATGGGTGGAGAAGCCGGGTCCAGTCCTAGCCAAGCTCCAAAAGACCGTGGACTGTGGCAAGGAGAATGCTACATGGAGGGAAGATGGGACAGCAAGTTGTCTGGAGCATTTGGAAAAACATTCTTCCCCACATGACACGTGAACAGTGACCCATAAAGGGAAAGGCATTTTATTTTAGGGGACACAGGCTGAATCAGTGCTAGCACTGGACACTCCCTGACAGCTCTGAATTTATCACCTCTGAGCAGATGCTGGAGTGTCCCTGCCCACCAGGGCAGCAGAGGGAAGAATCTTGGTGCTTGGACACCAGGGGGAAAATTCTCCCAAAGAGGTGGGCAGCTAGCCCCCTTGACCCCCCCTAAGACAGCGTGTCCTCATTTGCAGTCCCCCCTTTGCAGCCCAGCCCAGCTCACCCCCCACTCCAGCTCAGCACCCAGCAGGCAGACATAGGATTGCACCCTGCAGCTTTCTCCAGGAGTCAGGGGGCCCATGGGAGCAGGTGGGAGCCCACTCAAGTTAACTCATCCTTACTTAGTCGGCACAGTGAAAAAACCTGGAGCCCCTCAACACTCTGACCTAATAGGGACAGGATGGAGTCAGGCTGTAGCACACACACACACTCATGGACACACAGACAAGCACACACACACACATGCACACAGATGTGTGTGCTTACATGCATGCACACACAGATATACACATAGGCACGCTCACATACATACATGCACACATATATTTACACTCATGCACACATATACACACACTCCCATGTGTGTACATACATCCACACATGTGAGCACACATGCACCCACACTCTCTCTCCCTTTCTCCTCTCTTTCTCTCTCCTCTCTCTTCTCCTCTCCTCTCTCTGTCTCTCTCTGTCTCTCTGTCTCTGTCTCTGTCTCTGTCTCTCTCTCTCTCTCTCTCTCTCTCACACACACACACACACACACACACACACACACACACACACTCTTCCCCCCCCCCTCCCTAGAGGAGAGGAGCAGGGACATCGTCTCTGCTGCTTGGCCTGTCTGGCACTGGGGCAGCCTCTTTGAGACCCTCTGAGGACACTTTCCCACATGTCCCATCTCTGCAGCCCCTTCAAGCTACAGCAGACAGGCTGTGTGGCTGGGGCTGCCTAGGAGCTCCTTTTCAGCACTCCTTCAAAAGATGTTGAGACCCAGGTGACAAAAGCAGCCCTGGGGAAAGCTGGGGGGGCTAGGCTGTCACCCCAGAACTGCAGGACCCAAATTCTGCGAGGGAGTCAACCTGGAATGCAGAGCCTCCAACTCAGGCCCTGGAAGGAGCAAGAGCAAGAATCAGATTCCCAGTGGGAGCCAGAAAGAGGCACAGGGGCTAAGGTGACCCCCCCCCCCATTCTATTCTATTCCTGGCACTGCTGTGAGGAACCCCTGAGCAGAGTCAGGAGCAGTCCCAGATCACAGCTCAGCATGGCCCACCCTTCCACCACACACAGAAAAAAATTGCTAAGCGGGAAGGAACCCACCCCCGGCAGTAACAAGATGTCACAGCAGTTCCAGGGGGGAACATGGACTCCGGGAGTGGGAGCAAGATGACCTGGAGCCATGGCAAGTACTTGGGGTGGGGGCACAGGCCCTTCCACCTGGGACAGAACATGAAAAGAACCCAGGGGACCACCTGTGGCTCTCCAGGACTCTCAGGATGCAGAGTGGGGAGGAGGGGCAGACAGATGGGAGACTGTAAGAACCCCAGAATCCTCCTCCTAACCTCTCAGGTCTTGCTGTGTGCACCCACAGACCCGATGACACACACTGAGGCCCCTCGTGGCCTGGGCAGACACACCCTCTATTGGACAACATTGGATTATCCTTTCCTTCCACAGGGAGCTTAGGTTTATTGAGTTACTCCCACAACAGTGCCCCTGAGGCACACCCAGTTCCATCAAGAAATAATAGTCCTATATTGCTTTTCTCTTTCCTTTATGTCACTTGCATGGTTTAGGAATGTCCTTTTTTGTATAGACAGAGGAAGACAGTTGATGCTGATGTTTTTGTAACATGGAAGTTTATTGATTCCAAATAATATTTACTCCTGGGCCTCTATCATATTTACCTGACTTAAACCTCAGTTGTCCTTACTTCCTAACACCCCCAAAAGGAGGGTCCCAATGAAGGGACTGGATGGACCCAGGGCAAGCTGTAAGCTACCCTAGCATAAAAAATGGGACAAGCTAAGCACCATAAGTACAATAAGAGCATGGTCATGGGACAAACTCTGCCATGACCCAAAAAGAAGTAGCTGAATAAGGACTCTGCTGGGGTTAGGAAACACTAACCTGGCCTGAGGATTATGGTCTGGAATATATAGTGAGATGTCCCCAGGAAGAGCCACCCTTTAAGCTTAATATATCTCTTACTTTATTCATACAAAATGACTAGAAATATTTTAAGAAATAAATTTACTATGACTGTTTAAATGGATTACTACCTGTGGAAAAAATAAAGCAATACACCCAAGATGGAATCCTGCCCTTGAGCGGATCTCCTAATAATCTGGAGTGCTGAACCCTCAGTTGAGGTTTTGTCTTGAGTTAATCCCCTAGAACTTCCCCTGAAGGAGTGGCTTTACCTCTGTTTGTTATGACAGTGTTCAATCCCACCTATGTGTACCCCACCCTTCATGATTTCTATATAACTATGCTGTAAGGGGAGAAAGAAGGGACTGGACTACTAGAAAGAGAAGGACTAGAAGAGAACTTTGAGGTTTACAAGGAGACTAGGATGATGGAACTCTGATGACTGGGACTACGACCAAAACTATGACTATGATTGTGTTGTGAGGGAGAGATCGAGCTACGCTGGGAAGGAGAGAGAAATAAACTGACTACCGGTAAGCCTGAGGTCCAGTTTCCCAATTTCTCCGTTCCCCTAGTCCTTCATCCGTCTGTCGCCATGGGCTGGCCAAGGGAATGGAGTCCCGTGTGCCACCGTGCCTTTCTTGGAAACTCCCCTCCACCTTGGACCCAGAACAGTGAGAGACAGTGAGAGACAGAGGCACGAAGTGGCGGGAGGGAACTCACTTGACAATCAGGATGACGACCACGACATGGAAGCCGATGAAATAGAGTCTGGCTGCCTGGTGGGTCACACGGGCAAAGCCGTCTGCGAGGACTGGGCAGCTAAGGAAGCAGTGCCGGGCAGGATAGGGTGGTCCCAGCCAAACACCACCCTGCAGGGCGTACCCCCTGCCCACCCGCACCTTGGGAAAGGATACTGTGCCACTGGTTGACCACTGTGAGCTCCAGGAGCGTGACAAGGGCTGTGGCGAGGTCATTGAAGTTGTTCTTACAGTAGCCATTGCGGGCGAACTCTGAGTCCTTCAGTGCCGGGTTCCCACACAGCAGAGCCCCAGGAGTGGTGAGGTTGGGGCCCAAGAAGCGAACTTTGCCATGGAACACCTCCATTCCGATGATGGCGAACACATAGTATACCATCTGGGTGGGTAGTGCCAGTCAGAGGGTACCAGGATGTAGGGCATGAGAGTCATGAGGACAGGGACACAGACCAGACACAGGATGCTGACCTGCACCAGGGACAGGTACTCTGGAGTGGGGAAGGGGGTGTCCTCCCCAGCCACAGTTCCAGCAGCATCAGGATGAGGGGGCAGAGAAGCCCGCGGGGGACCCCTCTGCAGGGAGGCCAAGAACATAACCAACAGAGTCACACCTGCACCCTCCCAGGGGCCATTCACAAAGTGGGGAGCGAAACTGCAAGTTAGTAGGCTAAACTCTCTAAAACCTGTTGCTGTGAGAACGATCAGTAACATTGGATTTTTTTTTGGGGGGGGGGTTCACACCCAGCGATGCACAGGGGTTACTCCTGGCTCGTGCACTCAGGAATTACTCCTGATGGTGCTTGGGGGAACATATGGGATGTTGGGAATCAAACCCGGGTCAGCCGCGTGCAAGGTGACCCGACCCTATCCATTGCACTATTGCTCCAGCGCCAGTAACACTGGATGTTTACCCCATATCAAAAGAAATCCCAAAGTGAGCAAAGAGTTCAGAATATATAAAACATAAACCATACAGGATAACTGGAAATACAAGTGCCTGACACAAAAGCTACAAGATACAAGTGGCTGACACAAAAGCTAAAGACCATAAAGCATTACTGTCACTGTCACTGTCCTCCCATTGTTCATCGATTTGCTCCAGCGGGCCCAGTAACGTCTCCATCGTGAGACTTTGTTGTTACTGTGTTTAGCATGTTGAGTATGTCACGGGTAGCTTGCCAGGCTTTGCTGTGCAGGCGAGGAGATACTCTCGGTAGCTTGCTGGGCTCTCCGAGAGGGGTGGAGGAATCGAACTCAGGTCGGCCATGTTGGCTGTGTGCAAGGCAAACGCCCTACCCTCTGTGCTATCGCTCCAGCCCACCATAAAGCATAAGATCAGCCAAAGAAACCATAAATACATGGCCAACAACCACTACAAATCTTTTTGTTTGTTTTGGGGTCACACCCTGTGGTGCTCAGGACTTACTGCTGACTCTATATGCTCAGGGATCACTCCTGACAGGACTCAGGGGAACCTTATGTTGGGCCCAATATCAAATCAAAGTCATTCAAGTGCTAGTTAAATGTCTTAACCTCTGGACTCTCTGTCCAGCCCACAGATCTTTATGTAGGGGGAAAAATAAAACAAAAAAAAAAAACAAGTGATAGAAAAGGCAAAGGAATTATTCTTCATACAATTTACCAAGTCCTTTTACCCTAATAGGAAAAAACCCTCCTGCAAATCATGTAAAGTTCAAACCAATAGAATAATGTAGGGCTGGAGCAATAGCACAGTGAGTAGGGTGTTTGCCTTGCACACGTCTGACCCAGGTTTGATTCCTCTGCCCCTCTCAGAGAGCCCGGCAAGCTACCGAGAGTATCCCGCCCACACGGCAAAGCCTGGCAAGCTACCCGTGATGTATTCGATATGCCAAAAACAGTAACAACAAGTCTCACAGTGGAGATGTTACTCGTGCCCGCTCGAGAAAATAGATGAACAACAGGAGGACAGTGTAGTGCTACAGAATAATACAGGACTGTGGGCCAGAGCGATAGTACTGGGCGTTTGATAGGGATGGATAGATAGATAGATAGATAGATAGATAGATAGATAGATAGATAGATATAGATAGATAGACAGAGCGTTTGTAGGGCATTTGCCTTGCACCCAGTCATCCCAGATTTGATCCCCAACATCCTATAGGGTCCTCTAATACTGCCAGGAGTAATTCCTAAGCACAGAGCAAGGGGTAACCCCTGAGCACTGTCGTGTGTGATTCCAGCCTCTCCAAAAAAATCTATAAAAAAGCATAATGGACTGAAACTTGAACCATGTATTTAAAAAAGAAAAAGAATACATGGTCAAATGATTGTCTGCTGTGAAGAACTAAAGGGAAGAAGGTTATAATGTGTTTTGCCAGGGGACAGTTAGATGGTACAGCGGGTAGGGCATTTGCCTTGCACACAGTCATCTGGAGTTCAAACCCTAGCATCCCATATGGTTCTCGAGCACTGCCAGGAATAATTCCTAAGCACAGAGCCAGGAGTTACCCCTGAGAACTACTGGGTGTGCATCCCCATGTCCCGTTAAAAAAAAAAAAAGACTGTGTGTCTCATCAGAGGTGGGGATGGGGAGGGGCAGAGGCCAATGCCAAGCCACTATTCAAGGTGCTAAACAAGTGAAGATGGTTGAACCCTCTGATGTTGGGTATTGAGGACAGCAACCAGTGACCCCTGACTGACAGGTGTTTGGTCTTTCTAGAAGCCTGGTTTGTCTAAGAATAGCTAGAGACCAGTGCTTCTCATTTACTTATGGACCTCCCCCCCACACACACACACATACACACTCCTAATCATCATCACTGAGAGCTACTAAGAGTGAACAGCTCTCCACTTTCCTCACATGCCATCCGAGCAGCTACTTACCAAGACAAGTCCCCCAAAAGTCAGCATCGTGGGGCCAATGTTAATCAAGGTGGTCACGATAACCCGGAATCTAAAACATACAGAATTCAAGAGGCAAAGTGGAGGTGGTAGGACTCCTACACACCACTGTCATCTCAGAAAACTACAGAACACAGATTCCTCTATGGAGAGGGGATGGAGGATTTAAGAAGGGTTGGCCTGGGTCACTCAGGTTGACCCATAGGGTTGAGGAACAGGATCCTAGGGATGAGCCAGGAGAACCCCTGAGTCTAGGCATCTCCAAGTGGTCAGAGATTACAACCAGGCCCGGCCACTCCCCAGCACTTCTTGCTCACCTCTGAATGCTGACAATGACCCTCAGGAGACGCAGGACCCTCAGTATCAGGACGATGTCCAGGATCTGCTGGCTGTTGTATTTTCTGGCTAGAAAAAGAACAGAGTCAGGGGCCCTGCCAGGTGGTGAGAACACACTGAGCTCCTGGGAAAGACGTAGCTCCTTTTCAGGAACTGGAGGACAATGCATTGGGGGGTGGGAGCATCCTTGAGTGTCTCCCCACAACGCCCCTCCCTGCATAAGGAAGCTAAGTCAGCCCCATGGGCAGATGAGTACCTGCAGCCCCCCAGCTAAGGAACAGTAGGTGCCGGCGGAGGCTGAAGACCACCCATCCCCCTCCCAAGCTGCAGGCCCACCTTGGTAGTGCTTCCCCCACGCCCTTACTCAGGTGCAGCCCAAACTGGAAGGTGTGTGCCCTGGGGTAATCAGAGGAGGCCAGAGGGAAGAGAGGTTGCAGGAGCTGGTGCAGGGGGCTGCCAGGGCTGGAGCCTGGCTGGGGGCCCAGGATGGACTGAGGTCAGAGATGTGAGCGCAAGAGTCAGTGAGGAGAAGCAATGACCGGGGGTCTGTGAGGCCTAACGTGGGTGTGTAGAAACAACTGTGATTGCTCAATGCAACAGAGAGAGAGTGAGTGAGACAAGTGCTCAGGCCATCCTGCCCCCCTCAGGGTCAGCGGCAGAGGCAGTTTCTCTCTCTTTCAGCGGCACTGGGGAATCGGGCTATATTTGGTGTGATGGACACGGGTGGGTGGCACGTCAGCAAAAAGCGAAATCACCTTCCTTCCAGGCACACAGACCATTGCCACTGACCCTCTGCACCACTCTGACCAAGACACTGCCGGTAGAGACGCAGCAAGTGCACTGGGTCGGGAGTGGGAGGTGGAACTCACCTGACTGAATGGAGGTGTTGACCACCGTGGCCAGCAGCGCAGCGAAGATGATCAGCATGTCAAACCTGCTGGCACAGAAGCGCATCAGCAGGGCATCGGGAGAAAGGCCTGTCCAGTGCTGGGCACAGCTGGTAAGAGCAAACCTCCACTGAGGTGTCCAGGCAAGCTGCGCTCCACATGTAAAAGGAGCTTCCATCAAGTTCCATCAAGTTCCATTGGACAGGACAATCGCTATTTGACTGCTCCAGTGAGCCTTCCTAGGCTGCACCAGTGAGCCATTCAAGGGGACGTTGGCAACAAGCTCATTCATAGACTCACTGTCTTCCCAATCACAGCCAAGAATACCCGTCACCTGTTCAGAACACACCACATTGTCTTTCCCAACGCTAGTCTCACTAGGTGCATTGTAACGTTTCGGTTCAAGAAGAAATTCATCATATGCTTTCCTTTCTGATAATGAGGTCAAAGCATAAGACAAACCAATTCAATCTCCTTCGGCCACATGCCCAGCCTAGAGCATTTCCTGGGGTGAGAACAGGGTCCATGACTGACTCAAGCCTGCCTATTCCTTTGGAACCCCAATGCCCGGCTCAGGGACACTGGAGATGAACAGGTAAGTCTGCAACATGAGAGCAAAGATATAAAATGGGGAGGCTGGGCCTGGATAAGAGGATGCCACGAGAGTCCCTTTAGTGTACAGAAGAGCTCACGAGCAGCCTCTGAGGTCCAGGCACACGCCCAATTTGTGGCTCAACCTTTTGGAGAAGCGATGACCAGGGGGTCTGTGAGGCTTAACATGGGTTTGTGGAAACAACTGTGATTGCTCAATGCAATCACAGCGAGAAGGCCAGCGAACCTCTGGGAGGCAGCACCTCATTGGGTCCGATGTTCTATGAGACATTCCAAATCCAAGATACAGGATTGTGATTCTGGTTCTAACCAGAGAGCTCAAACAGACATCTTGAGGAGCAACTTTTATGGAGCCAGAGGCTCCCAGCCCCTAGGATTCTGCCATTTTAAGATGCCTCAGGAGCCAGTGGGATAGTACAGTGGGAAAGGTTCTCACACCATGAAGTTTGGTCCCACCAGGAGTGATTCCTGAGCATTGCCAGTGAAGAAAGGAAGAAAGAAAGAAAGGAAGGAAGGAAGGAAGGAAGGAAGGAAGGAAGGAAGGAAGGAAGGAAGGAGAAAGAGGGAGAGGGAGCAAGGTAAGAGAGAAACAGGGAGGGAGGGAGGGAAGAGGGAAGGAGGAAGGGAGGGAGAAGGCTTGGAAAACTATAAATAAATATGCCCCAGACTGTGAGTGGAGGCCCAGCTCCTTCTCTACCCAGGGTCTCTGGCCCCTCTCAGACCACATGTGCTCACCAATTCCAGAACTGCTTCCTTCCCAAGTAGGCTTTGGGTTCGTACGTGTAGAGTTTCAGGAGAATCTCAATCACATAGAGAGCAAGGAAGAGCCATTCAGCATAGGAAATGAGGGGATTTTTCTCATCCAGAGCAATGAATATGGCATTTATAAGAATGATGACGTCATATACCCAGACAAAAATCCTGAGGTGAGAGAAAAGAAGGGACCCTGGCATTAGGTATGTCAGTGAAGGAACATGTTCAGAGCCTAACAGCTCCATTTTGCATCCCAGCTATGGGGTGAATGAATGTGAGATAATGCCTTTCCTAACACCTCAGCACTCTTCACACACACACACACACACACACACACACACACACACACACACATTCTCTCTCTGTCTCTCTCTCTTTCTCTCTCTCTCTCTCATTCTCAGACATACTGTTAAAAATGCACTCATTCTCACACACTCATTAAGCACACTTCCGCTCTCACTCTCACACATAAACACTTGTGCGTACATATTCAGTCATGCTCTTATCCTCAAACTCACATAACCTCACAACTCCCCATACACTCTCATTCTCAAACACTCTCACACACAACACAAATTCTCACACTTTCATCATTCATACTCACACACACTCATACACACTCATAATACTCTACACACATATTTTCACACTCTCACACACTCTCACACACTCACACTCTCCCCATATAAAGAAAGATCAGGGTGTGAGAAAACACCTGTATCCCTTCAGCTGTGGCAGCCTTTCTCCCCGGGGCAGGAGGGCTGTGGTTTTCCCAGGTCCCCCTTCAAGGGCTTAAGCAAAACAGAGGGGCAAGGGGCAAGGAGGCTTAGGGGTGGCACAGGGCCTCTACAGCTCTGAAACTTATTCCTAGAAAATTAACCTCCTCAACCAAGAGAGTCTCTGAAATCTTTTCATCTCTGATACACCCAAGCTACCCAGAGATTGGTATGTCCATCCTCCTCACCCAATGTTGATGTGAAAATGAGTGGGGGAAAAATATGATAGCCTGACTCAGTCCTTTAAGGAGGAGGTGGCCCTGTCACTTGTGCTCCACAGAATCCTGTGTGTGTGTGTGTGTGTGTGTGTGTGTGTGTGTGTGTGTGTGTATCTGTGAAGAAGACAGACAATGGGCTCTAACTCACTATTCCCCCATTAAGCTAAAGGTCCAGCTCTGAGTCCCTTGTACAGCTACTCATGATGCATATCTGTAACTGGAATCTGCAGAAAGGGGCCATGACAATGAAGAACTCTATTGATAAACTATGGGAAGCTAAAAGGAATGTTTGCCTACATAGGTTGAGTTATTTTTAAGAACTCCTGAATCACTCTCTCTTGTAAAACATCAAAAATTCAAAGAAAATAAGATTCCGAGCCCCTCATGAGAGGTGTATACCGGTCTCACGTGCTAAAAACTTCCAAGCAAAAATGACTCTGGAAATCATTGGTTTGAAAGTAAAATAATTAAGTCAACCTGCATAACAGTACAGTAACAGTCTAATCCTTTCCTCTTGGAAACTACTCTGCTCTCATTCTTATCATATATTTTAAAGAGTCACAGGGTCATATTTAACAAAACTTCTATCCAAGAGGGGATGAGCCTCACCCAAGATGGGATGAACCTTACTCAAGAGCAGACTGGTAGAAAAATCCAGGCATGTGGGAACTCGTGACTGAGATCTCCAAGCCTGCTCAGATCGGGACTGGGCCTCCTTCCCCCAGCTCCCCAGTTTCCCAGTAGCTTGGCAGTCACACCCACAAATTGCCCCTGGCACCATGTAATATCATCAATGGCCAAGATGCAAATACTATAAATCAAAGCTCCCAAAAGAGAGTGCCGCAGAATTTCCTGGAGCACGTGGCTGCATTCATGGTCATGCAACCTCTTACACTCTATCTCACTCAGTTATCAAAAGTAGCACATATTTGTTTGGTTTTAACATTCTTGCTTGTATTCTCTTATATTCGGGCTTAAATGGCTCCAGAATGAAATACAACCTTCATACACTTCCCTCATTTTGTGGTGGAAAGGTGCTTGGTGGTGAGATTGGTGTTTGAATATGATCTGTAATGAACTGATGGAGCGATAGCACAGCGGTAGGGCGTTCGCCTTACAAGCAGCTAACATGGCTGACCCGAGTTCGATTCCTCCGCCCCTCTCAGAGAGCCCGGCAAGCTACTGAGAGTATTCGATATGCCAAACACAGTAACAACAAAGTCTCCAATGGAGACATTACTGGGCCCGCTTGAGCAAATCGACGATCAACTGGAGGGCCTTTACCTTTACCTTAATGAACTATTGTCAACTACTTTTATGTAAATAAAATATGCATATACAAAAACTGGTAACAAAACTTCTATTGACTATAATGGGGCTTTAACCTCCAGAATTCAGAGTGCTCAACTTCTTTGGCTCAGGGAACAGGTCTAAGCTGTGTTCCCTGAGGGTATTTGAGAACATCACAGAAGGAAACAAAATGTAGAAACCTTTCCTTTTGTCTAAGGTCTAGTATAAGTTGCCCAGAACCCTTTCAGTGCCTCACTAAGAAACACGAAAAGTGGTGAGCAGGTTGGTTTATCCCTTCAGTGAATTAAACACATTCAGTTCAACGGCATAATTGGATTCTTCTGTTTTTAAAAGCAGCCTGGAAGAAAATTAATCCCATCCCACTTGCCTGTGTCGAACCATCTTCTGGATCCAGAGGCTTGCAGATGACTGGTACACCCGGGGAATCCAGGTTTCCAGCGGGTGTGTCCTGATGCTGATGGTGACCACCTGGATGTTGAGGAGGTCAGCCAAACGGACAAAGTTCATTTTGTCTGCAACGACACCAAGACCCATAGCCCCAAGGGTCATGCATGACACAAAGGCCCAAAGGGCAAAGTCAAGATATCACGGCTGCATGGGTTTGCATGTCACCGGTGAGCCTGAGGGTAAAGGGGCATGGCTAAGGAGCCGGAGGGGCTGAGCAGCCCACCCAGCTTCACACAGACCCTCAGTCAACTCAAGCATGAGATTGCGCTGATTTGTCAATGTCAATACCATCCACTCTGATTTCTTCCTCACGGGAGCCATTGTTGCTTTTCCAGACATTATTGAAGCAACATTGCACTTGAACATGATGGCACTTTCTGGAGTGCATCATCATAAATAAATATCTGTATATCATCTATTCATGTATTGGGCTTCCCACTAAGAGTCCAATTCCCTCCTTCACATTCAATTGTTCCCTTTTCTCTGATTTATTCCCCTTTCCTCTTGGCAACCACTAACTTGGTCTCATAGTCTGAAAGTTAAATCTTATTTTACTTGGCTCTTTCATTGATTTTCTTTATGTAGGAAATATAAGGGAAATCATATGGTGTTTTTCTTTCTCCAACTGACTTATCTCACTGAAAATATCCTCTCAATCCCTCTTTATGATTGTAACTGGCAGGACTTTTCTTATAGCCAAGTTGTATTCATGATGTATGTATTCTGCAACTTCTCTATCCAAGCATCTGCCACTATATACTAAGGTTGGTTCCAACTCTTGACTATTGTAAATAGTCACTCAATACAAGGTACATTAATCTCTTCAAATTTTCATGTCCTTGATATAAACACCCACAAGTAAAATAACCATATCAAATATAATGTTTTGGGGGTGGGAGAGGGTTAGGAGTGACCCCTAGATGTACTTATGGGACCATAGGCAGTGCCAGGGATTAAACTAATGTAGGCAGGATGCAAGACAAGAGCCTTAGCTCTCTCTTCTAGCTGCCTTGGAATTTCTATTTGTGATAGTTCCAGGACTCTTCATACTCTTTCCATAATGGTGGCACCAGTTCACATTTCAATCAATAGTGTACAAGAGGTCCTTTTCTCCACATATTTTCTAAAATGTGTTTCTTATCATCAGCTGATGTCAATGTCAACTTTATCCTTCCAGTTTTGAAGAAAAAGTGCTTCCTTCCTCACCACACAATCACCAAGGTAAATACAACTGCCACTCTTCCATTTTCATCCTGCCCTCTGATCTGCCTCTTAACTCAGCTTTCAAAGACTCACTCAAATTCATAATATGTTCATCATCCTCAATCCAAGTAGAATGTGCCCTTTGTGGGCTACCTTAGACACACCATATTTCTGCAGGATATCGAGGATACCAGGCAAGTCTCTGCTCTGTGTACCTCTTCCCTGTGGGGCAGGTGGATGTGGATCACTGGTCTGGTTCCCAAACCTGTTTATGCATGAATTTCCTCTACCTATGCACACTTGTCTGTGTGAGGCAGTGAAAGTGGCCAGGTCGGCTGCTAAGCTAGCCCAGTCTTCCGCTAAGCTAATCCAGTCTAGCTGGGCTGGCCAATTACAAAACTGGCCATACTGGTGGGTCCACATGCATCCCTGCCATCTTCTATGAGGCAGCATGGACCTTTTCCATCCTAAGAGAGGCATGTGCCCTCTGGGAGCCTAATGTGCCTAACTAGATGCAGACCAGTGGGGAATGCACAATTTCAGAGCCAAGGGGCAATTCCTGGAAACAGAGGAAGCTATCAGATTGCATGGATGTTTGTAAATTTAAATATTCCATTAACAGTGGCAGAGAAATGCCAAGGTTCCAGTAACACTTTATATACTCCACTAGACAGAGGTCCCTCTTTGTTCTATGGTTCAGTTAGCTGAGCCTGGTAGAACACGCTGCCAGTTCCACATTCTCTGTTCATAATTCTGGGCTCTATCACGGTTACTTTATCTTTTCAATTGAACAATTTGGTACTCACAGAATTCCAGTGAGCCTCAAAAACTCATAAATGCTGATGAAGGGAAAAATAAAAATGCCAGAGGCACTGCTACCCCTCACCTGCACCAAGCACAAATTGCTTGTTATAAGAGCAGACTTCCTCCCAAAATTACTGAAACAAAACCTTGTCATGTGCCCTGGCCCTAAAATTATTTTCTCCTTGACAGAGATGCCTTGTAGATAACATCTTTAAGTAAAAGACCGACTTACAAAGTCTGGCCCCCATAAGTATAAATTACATACAAGAATAAAATATTCTTCTTAAATAGATGAAGAATATTTTTAATTGAATGCAGATGCCATTGGGCTACACTACCATACGACAGGGGCGAATGGAGATGCTACTGACCCTGTTCAAGCAAATCGAAGATCAACAGGTTGACAAGTGATACAAGTGACGATAAAATATTCACTTGAATGGTACTTTTATACTCTAATTTGTTTTGAAGACCTGAAAGTTTTAGTTATTCATTTCTGACATTTGAAGTATTACTCAATGATATTGTTGGCCTGTGATTCTTTGTCATAGAGCTTAACCACAACAGAACCTCACACATGCATGCGTGTTCACGTGTGCGTGCAAACACGCACACACACAGGGGAATGAGGAATTCTAACATTCATAATGTCATTAGTATTTTTATCTAATTAAAAACTTTAAAAAAGAATTGAAAATTAGATCTGGAGATATAGCACTGAGGTTAAGGCACATGCCTTGCAGTCGGCCAACCTGGGTTCAATTCCAGGCACCCCATTTGGTCTCCTGAGCCCTGCTAGGAGTGATCCTTGAGCACTAAGCCAGGAGTAAGCCCTGAGCACTGATAGCTGCTTCCTCAAACTAACCACCAGACAAACAAACAGTAAAGGGTAAAAAAACCATTAAAGGAAACTAACGTTACATTGTTTGGCAATTTAGGGTTAAAAATGGATGATAATATCTTTTACCTGATTTTACCCAGGGTTTGCACAAAAATAAAAATGATTTTGCCTCCAAAGTGACCAAAACAATGGAATGTCCCAGCCCTCCTTCTCCTGTGGGCTGGTCTTTGCCCTCAGCCACCCACAAACTAAACATAGGCTAGAACCATATTGCAGGCTTTTACACTGTCTGATTTTAAACCTTGGATTCTCCTCAATACCTCACACATGACAAGTACCATTAGTAATGGCAGCTATCAAACCCAGCACAAAAATCTAGCTACTTAAAACTTTCACCTTCAAATCTGAATGGAATGTAGACCTTCATTAAAATGTGGCTTATCCCTTCTTTGGATGACCTCCCACACACGGAATCCCAGATGCAGAATGCCAGGGCCTTTTTCTTCTCCTCTTCCCCATATGGGGCTCTCTCAGCACTGCTCTGCCTACTCAGCTGTGCACACCGCCACCAGGACTCCACCCTACAGTGCTAGGGTAGAGCATGTGGTTCCAGGGCTCTGAGCATCCTGGAAATGTGCTTGACCACCTCAACTATCTCCCAGCCTTGGCAAGGGTTTTAGGGTGACTCTGTACATAGGAAAGTCCCCTCACTGCACAGAAGCCCCTGGCCCCAGTTTATTGTGGCCAACGGCGGGGGGGGACCCACATATATTTTAATTTTCTACAAACATATTCAAGAATATGAAAAACCAGTACAGTAAGTTCTGACAATGCTATCGATTGGTTCCTGCAATCCGACATAGAACGAAGCAAACTGTACCAAAACCAAATTTTAGCACATTAGTTTTTGGTCACAGAAAAACATCAGCAAACTTCTGAATAGAGACCTAAAACATTTATAATGTTATGTTAGCAATCATTTGAATCCATCTCGTCATTTTTCAAACCCTTATTCCAGGTCAGGTAGCAGGGGGTGCGGGGGGAGGATAGGCAGAACCTGTTTTTGCAGCCTAGGGTGCAAGAGTGGGCGACCCTCCCCTACAGGGTGCAATCCCCCTTGCTCACTCTGACTGGGACAACTGAGGCACACCTTTGGTGCTAACATGAACAGAGTAGGGTGTGGGGCAACTGGAGCTCCCAGGGAAAACCCACAAGATAAGGGAGCACATCAATCCCTGCCCTGACAGTATCCTGTCAGAAATCAGTCACTCTTCTTATTGATGCTTTTCTCTTTGGGGTGAGGGGGGCACTGTCCCAGCAATTCTTAGAGCACAGGAGAGGCTCCAGGTACCACTGCATCGTGGCCAACCAGGAGGACCCTGGTTCAACTCGAAGGCCTGAGGATGCAAAACGGCTGGGAGTTACCTAGGCCACCCAGGCAGTGCCTGGGGACTTCTAGGGTATACATAATGATGTGTGGGGACCATGTGGTGCCGGGGATCAGCCTGGAGTCAGGTGCATGCAAGGCCTGCAACTAGCCACCACTGCTCCCAGCTTGGCAGCCCCTACCTGTTCATTTCAGAGTATTTGCCCCCAGTCCACACTCTTTTTTTTTTAGGACATTCAGAGAAGAGAAAGGTCAGGGGGGTCCTTACCCACGTATCCCTTCTGGTCTTCATCACAGATCTGGAGAAGTAGCTCCAGGTGGGAGCTGCTGGTGTCAGGTGCCACAAGCTTGACCAGCTGCCTCCAGCGGGTCTCGGGAACCACAAACTCTGCACCCACGCTGACTTTCAGAATGCTGAACGCTTCCAACATCTTGTGGCGCTTCAGGAAGGCCAGTGTGCGAATCTCATTCTTGAAATACACACACGCACAAACGCACACACACGTGCACACACGCACGCACGCAACAGAATTGTGGTTGCTTGAGAACAATGTTTCAGAGAAACCTCATCTTTGTCCCCTGACATTGCAAAGTCTTGAAAGGGCCAAAGAGAAAGTGCTGCAGGCTCTGCTGAGCATGGGGTATGTCCCTCCCCGCTCCACCCAACTCAGCCCCATCCCAGCTTACCCAGAGTCAGTGGGAGTGGTGAGAGAAAGCAGCAATGCGCAGACCAGACTCAGCTCTGCCCAAGGGGGGCAATCCAGAAAAGAAGAAATCAAGCTCTGCCACTGACTGAGTAGGGGGGGCAACAGAGGAGAGGGAGAGAGGGAGAGAGGGGGAGATAGAGACATAGAGAGAGAGGGAGAGAGAGAAGAGGGAAAGAGGGGAGAGAGGGAGGGAGAGAGAGAGGGAGAGGGAGAGAGGGGAGAGAGGGAAGGAGAGAGAGAGGGAGAGAGGGGAGAGAGGGAAGGAGAGAAAAGAGAGGGAGAGAGGGAGAGGGAGAGAGAGAAAAGAGAGAAGGAGAGAGGGAGAGAGGAGGGACAAGGAGAGAGGGAGAGAGGAGAGAGAGGAGAGAGAGAACAGATTGGCCATTAGAGTCCAAACTCAATGGAGAGGCTTTGGGGAAGAGAAGTCAGAGGCTGCCTAGAGCCACCATCTGCCCTGCTGTGATTCTTCCAGAAGGAGGAACCAGGTTGTGAAGGTGGGAGGAAGTGCCTCTCAGTGATGGAGTATTTGCCTTCTCAGTGCGAGGTCCTGGGTTCAATTCCCCACACTACAGGGCCCCCTCAGTACTAAGTGTGGCCCTGATGCCCACGAGTACTGCAGACTACCCATTCAGAAGTGGCCCCCAACCAAATTAAAATAAAGAAACAAAAGGAGACAGAAGGGGGTTGCTGCACTGCCATTTCTCTGGTTACAACAGAGACAGACCATATCAGAATTGCCTCCTCGCCGGTTACTTGGCCACACTGAGCACTCTGGAACATTCTGAACTGTATCTCTGTCATCACTGTGGACACACAGTTTAGGGAGTACAAAGACCACTGATGCAGAGGCAGCAAGGGAACATCATGGTTCTGCCCTGTAGTGAGAGAGACCAGGATCTTGGGGGCATCCTTGTCCTTTCCAGAGGGAAGACAAAGGCCAGCTGAAGTTACCAGGTGCAAGGCCTTCACTATCTGTCTCCTTCCCGATACCCGTTTAGGTGAGGAAAGGTCACAGACCTACAAAGTCTGAAGAAGACTTAGGGCCGATTTCCCTTTTCTGCAAAGGGTGCTTCTTCACTCCACTCTAAGTTCCACAGCTCCCAGAGAAATTAGGTGTTGGGGGCCATTTCCCAAGCCAGGAAGACCAAGTAGAAACCAGGTGCAGTTTGACAATTGCCTCTCAGGGCTGGTGAGATGTGAAATCTGTACCACAGGAAGGCTCAGAACAGACTCCCATCAGTCCTAGATTGTCCAGGCTCTTCCCAGGTGACTGAGGGGGGCAAAGAGGGAAGCAACAGATGCTTTTCTCGAGGTCTTCACCTCTCTCTTCCCCACTTCACCTAAACCACCCAGGGAACCCTACTGCATCTGATAGGAGCCATCTCGCCCAAGAGCAACAGAACCAAAAGGGTTAAAGGCCCAAAGCTAGGTTTGTTCATGAGGAAATTTATCCTAGGAAGAAACATTTCTCTGTGAACCGAATTGCACAGAACAGAAGACACCCCAAAAAGGGGCATGCCCAGGGCAGCTGAGAGGGCTGAGGTATCCCAAAAGATTCCAGGCTGAAAAGTCCACATCGTCCCCCACCCCACATCTGCTGGAATTTTCCAGACCTGGGAGAAATGGGGAGGGCCAGTGAGTGGAAACTGGTTGCTGTTTCCAGTGGGGGGCAGGGCAAGGGCTGGGAGCAGGAGAAGAAACTGAAAGTTCTGAGAATCTCCCCAGGCCCTCCTCACCCATTTGTACAGCTTTCACTATCTATCTCCTTCCTGATATTTATGTGATGAAAGGTCGGGGACCTGGGAAGCCTGGCTACAACCAATTTTCCTTTCCTGCAAAGAGCAGTTAGAGAAATATCTCAAGGAGTCACCATCTGTGTGAGGTACTGAAAGCAAGGAGCAAAGCAAGGGCCGCTGGTGCACACATTACTCAGAGCTTTGCAGACCAGCAGAAGAGAACAAGGCAGCAAGCATGTCCACAGATGCACCCCCAGAAAGCAAAAGGACATTTGCAAAGACCTGTCAGAAGCACTTAGTAGTCTCCCAGACACTATAACCCAATGCAGGCACCTGTCCCCCACCCTAATCCCACTCTCACGGATTACCTTTAAGTGCTTCCTGTAGTTGTTGTAGACCACAGCCAGAAAGACAGACATGAAGATGTAGGTGTTGATGATGATGTAGGTGATAAAGTACAGAGAGTACCACCAATTGGCATCATAGGCAGGCATCCTACCAGAAAGAAAAGTTAAGTTTCATGGTTTTCCATATCTTAGGTCCATAGTGCATACATTTAAGATGCAAAAAAAAAAAATCCCAGAATAGAAATCTGGCTGCTGAAGTATTTACAATCAAGACATTATGAAAGCTGTCGTTCTCCTATTGCTTTTTGTTTTAAAGATGTATTCTGGACTAATCTTGCTGCCACCGAATCATCTGAGGAAAGCCTCGTCTCCAGGATGAAATTTCTGTAGCTTTCTTGGGATTGGAGGAGGCACCTCATAATTTCATGATACTGACTGCCCGGTAGGGGCACAGCAAATTAGATGGGAAAGTTCTATAGAAGCTCACTAAGCTCAATGAGTGAAAACAATAAACCAGAAGAATCAACTAGCACCTAACAGCTCAGAAAACCAATCCTCAGACAATGGCTTTAGTAACACCACTGTGAGATGTTTTTTGTAAGAAGAAATATAAAACAAATTATTTTGTCCTTACTAAGGAAGCAAGCTTGGTGGGTGAGAAACTGTGGACATTGGTGGAGGGAAAGTCACATTGGTGGTGAGACTGGTGTTGAACACTTTTTGCACCCCTAAACCAACTGTATTATGAGTGACTCTATAAATCATAGTATTTAAAGTTTAAAAACACGAATAGGGGCTGGAATGATAGCACAGCAGGTAGGGTGTTTGCCTTGCACACGGTCAACCCGGGTTTGATTCCCAGCCTCCCAATGGTCCCCCAAGCACCGCCAGGAGTGATTCCTGAGTGCAGAGCCAGGAGTAACCCCTGAGCATCACCGGGTGTGACCCAGAATGCAAAGATAAATAAATAAATAAAAACATAAATATAAATAAAAGATTATCACATTTTACTTTACCTAGACTGGGGAGCAAACCTACCCACCTCATACACTCTGTCATGCATGATATCCCTGGTCTGCATTCCTGGCCTGTCCTGCTTAGAGGAGGTGGGCTATTGTGAGTGCCTCTGTGTTCTTCAACAATGTTACCAAGAAAAAAATTAAACATAAAAGGGGTCTATAAATAGTACAGCGGTGATAGTATAGTGGGTAGGGCATTGGCTTTGTACACAGCCAACCCAGATAGGATCCCAGGCATCCCATATGGAGCCCCACCAGGAGTAATTCCTGGAAGCAGAGCCAGGAGTAACCTCTGAGAATCACCAGGTGTGGCCCTTCCCAAAAAGAAACCAAAAAATAAATAAAAATAAATTCACCATAAAAAAGATTTAGCAGAGTATTACTCCTTTCCCTCTCTCAGCCCTGCTTACTCGCAGTAGAAAATAGCTGGTTTGTACAAAATGAACTCAAGTGAATGGCAGCCCTCAATGGTGAGTTGGGTGGCACCTTACATCACATCCGGGCTGTTGGCAGTGGTGACCAGCACGTAGAGCTCAAAGGCGATCTCCAGGATGTTGGTAAAGTAGCGCGATCCCTCTACCGTCTTAAGGCCCCTGGAGAGGAACCAAACATACACACACACACACACACACACACACACACACACACACACATATGAAACTGTGCTTCCAGCTTCCCAAGCGCACTCCTGGGATGTCCATACAAGGAGAGGGTCTGGGCACAGGTCAGACAGGGAAGGCCGGGGTCCTGGACACAGAAACGTGCACAGCAGTGAGCTTACCTGTCCCCAAAGAGCTTCAGGGCCATCAGGGAGAAAATGAGCATACTGAACATGAACAAGAGGAAGACATAAAGGATGTCGGGCAGGGTCTTCCGGATGCTTCGGAAAGCTCTGCGAATCTGTGAAGACACGGGTCCTTTGTATGCGCCAGAAGCCCAAGGACCTTCTGCCAAAGCAAAGGGCCAGAGTCCTCACCTGGCGACTCTCGGGACAGTTAATCAGGAAGACGGGCCTCAGGGCCCTGGACCAGCGGATGCTGTGGATGTTGATGGCTTCCAGGGATCCATAGATAATCAGGTCCACCAGGGTCAACTGTGAGGCACACAGGAGGGCCATGTCAGTGCTGCTCTACCCAGGGACAGCCAGGGATCGTGGGCGTGTCTGAACCTGATTCCAGAGGTTCATGTGAACATCATGTGAGAAACAAGTCTCCCCAATTGCCTGATTCATTTTAAACTCTGACACACAGAGAAGCGGCTGTTTGTGTATCTGCTATGAGCTGTGGAGTACAAAAAATTATTCATTTCAACAATAGTTCAATCAAATCTCACACCCCAAAGTGGAGGTGGGATTTCCAAGGAGATTCTTGAGGCACAGAGAGGGTGAGTGTTCAGCCCCTGGTCACACAGCTCAGAGGGATGCAGCTGAAAGCAGAACTCCAGCAGAGCTCTGCCTCACCTCGGAGTCCTGACTGTGCAGTACTCCCAGACCAAGTCCTGATTCACCATGTCTTCAACTAGATAGGAAGACTATTAAGTGGCTGCAGAGCCGCTAACTTCTTCTTCTTTTTTTTTTTTAAATCTTTATTTATATATTAGTTTTTGGGTCACACCCGGCGATGCACAGGGGTTACTCCAGGCTCTGCACTCAGGAGTCACTCCTGGTGGTGCTCAGAGGACCATATGGGATGCTGGAAATTGAACCCAGGTCGGCCAGTGCAAGGCAAATGCCCTACCCTCTGTGCTATTGCTCCAGTCCCAGAGCCACTAACTTCTTAACCTGCAGGCCGTGACTCCACCTGGGGTCATGTAGCCAAAACTTCATTTTGGAAGAAGTTTTTTATGTATGATCTGTAATTCTTTGATCTTCATGGATATTACATAGACCTGGAGACTCTCAACCATTTCTCAGAAGAAAAGGAGTTGAGGCATGGAAAACATTGAAGAAGACTCCATCTAGCCTCTCAAGCACTGTGGCACTGTAGCACTGTCCTCCTGTTGTTCATTGATTTGCTCGAGTGGGTACCAGTCATGTCTCCATTGTGAGACTTGTTGTTATTGTTTTAGGCATATCGAATATGTCACTGGGAGCTTGCCAGGCTCTGCCATGTGGGCAGGATACTCTTGGTAGCTTGCCGGGCTCTTTGAGAGGGACAGAGGAATTGAACCCAGGTCGATCGCGTGCAAGGCAAATGCCCTACCCGCTGAGCTATCGCTACAGCCAGCCTCTCAAGAGAGGTGAGAATAAAGAAAATACAGAAATTCCTACTAGCTTGTTATTATTATCAGGTTGGTGCCCACCTGAAGACAAGGCAAAGAACCCAGTATATTCTAAAACAAGCCACAGCCCGAGAGACCAGTGTTAAGGCAGGTTTTCCTTGAACATGGTTGATGTGGGTTCCGTCCACAGCACCATACATGGTCCCCTGGTCTCGCCAGGTGACTCTTACCTTGAGTGCAGAGTCAGAAGAAAGCCCTGAGCACTGCCAGGTGTGAAAAGGGAAGAACAGGACATCGAGCACAGGACTGAAGCCAAACTAATGAAGTTTGTTTGGCAGCCTAGACGGAGCAAGTCTGTGGGAGCTGTTTATTTGATTTTTGTTGTTGTTTGTTTTTTTAAGATTTTGTTATTGTTGTTGCTGCTGTTGTTTGGGGGCCATACCCAGCTGTGCTCAGGGATCATTCCTGGTGGAATTTGTGGGGATCATATAGGGTACTAAGGATGGAATTGCAAAAGGGTTCATTTACCTTTTACATGAAATTGGCAAATGACGCTTTTAATCATAGAAGGTGAAGATGTTTCTAAAAGTAAGAGAAGGACAGGTACTCTGTGGATTCTGAGGGTTCAGCAGACATGTAGGGATGAGTTAGAACAAATATTTAGAGCAAGGGACATAAGAGCCCAGGGACATAAGTTCAGGCAAAAGAAGCCCCACCAGACAGGGCTGGAGAGATAGTACAGTGGGCAAGGAGCTGGGCTGACATGTGACCAATCCCAGCTCTATCCTCAGCACTGCATATGGTCCCTCTGAGCCCCCACCAGGTGTGATCCCTGAGCAGAGTCAGGAGCAAGCCCTGAACACCACCAGGTGTGCCCCCAACCCCTCAATCACACAAAAGCTTCATTAGTAATGGGAGGAAGAGTGAGTAGGAAGGGAAAAGCACTGATGAGTAGCATCTAGCAAGGTCCCAGGAAACAGAGTTCAGGTCCCTGGAGCTCATCTGGGGAGCAGATGAGCCTAGAGCAGAGACAGGCACCCACAACAGAGACCAAGCGATGGGCCCATGGTCCAAGGATGAGAAGAGGGAACTGGGGTGTAGAGCAACTTGCACAGGAAGTCTGAGGAGAGGAAGCATGCGGGGGCACAGTGAGAGCCACAGGAAAGGAAGGCATGGGAACAATGGGTGAGGTGGGCCCACCGGAGCAAGCTACGATCTAGATGTGGAAATAGCCAGCATAGCGGGTCCAGAGACCAGAGTCAGAGAGACACCCCCACCACAGTACCACTGGCCCATCCGCGCCACCCGCAGGGGTCCCTGAAGCTCCCACAAAGCCTGGCATGCCAGGGAAAGCACAGACAGCTGGAAGGGCAGCAGCTGAGAGAATGACCTCCAGACCAACACTTGGAAGGGAAGTGGGTGGTCAGACACTGCCTGACCCTGGAGGCAGACACTGGAAGTAACAAGGGTCAGACACTGACCCCAGAGCCGGACACTGGAAGGAACCAGGTCAGATACTGATCCCGGAGCCGGACACTGGAAGAAACCAGGGTCAGACACTGACCCTGGGGCTGGACACTGGCCGGATCTTGAGTGTGGGGCTGGACACATCAGCTGCTGTTTGCACTCTTGGGTGTCCCCAGCAGCTTCCCAAAGCTGGCCCCCTGCAGGTAACATATAAGGTCACCGAGTCCCACCTGGCTCTGTCCTCACCAGGCACAGAGCCAGGATTAAGCCCTGAGCACCACTGAGGGTTACCCCAAAACAAGAAAAAGAATTCACACTGTCCTTTCCAACTCTGGCAGAGCCTGTGATCCCCTGAGATTGGTCTGATGTGACCTCCCCGACCCCTCCAGGCAAAGAGTCAGGAGTTCCTACACACCACCAGGTATGGCTCCCCCAAAAGCAAAAAATAATCCAGTGAAATATTTACGCTGTTCTCCCTGGCCTTACTTGTTCTTCTGCTGTGATTTGCCGTCTGCAGTGCTGGTGGTATACCTGCTCGGCTATGGCTGCCGGTGTTCCTTGAACCAGCTCCAGTGGAGACCCCCTTTCCCCTCCGCTGCTGCCTTTGACCACACGCCCCTACAGACTCGGGACAGCACTCACCGCAATGGTGACCAGGATGCAGATGTTCTTGGTGTCCTTCCAGAATACCTTTTGTGGTGTGACCTTGGCAAAGTGTAAAAGTCTCCCGAAGAATGCAGTCAGACAGAGCACTTCTACCATGGAGGTGGCCTGCACATAGAACACAGACACTGGGTGTCTGCCACATGGCACACTGGTGCCACTCGGTCCCACCCTTCCCCTACGGGCCCCATGAGAATCAGTGATGGCCTTTAATTTTACTGCAAGTTACAGACAACTCCTTGACTGGCTGGCATGGTTTCTTTTTTTTCTTTCTTTTATTTATTTATTTATTTATTTATTTATTTTTGGCTTTTTGAATTGCACCTGGCGATGCTCAGGGGTTACTTCTGGCTTTGCACTTAGGAATAACTCCTGGCAGTGCTTGGGTGCTTGAGCTGGGAGGGGCGGGGAACTATATGAGATGCAGGGATCAAACCTGGGTCAACCGTGTGTAAGGCAAACACTCTACCCGCTGTACTATTGCTCCAGCTCCTGGCGTGGTTTCTTCCTTTCAAAAGGCAACCTGCCCCCTAAGCCAGCAACTCCCCTGCACGTATTGGCAGGGACTGCTGGGAAAGGAAGGATGACTAGGCAGAGGACCCAGAATATTAAGGAAAGGCCCTTTCTATAAACTCAGACTCCTTACACTCGGATTCAAAAGCGACATCTAGAGGTCAGTTTCCCTAACTGGACATTAACCCCCAAAGCTACATTTGTTCATTCCCAGGCAGTGTGTGAATGGTCCATTCTGTGGCTTCTTCCCAGTCTCTGGCCTACAGGATTTCTACTCAAAGGCTTTACTGATCCATGCCACAGTGAGCCTGTTCCTATGGCCACAACTGGCTGGTTCCCCAGTCGGCACACTTCTTTCTGTCAAGTTATCCTGTGCTGACTTAGGGTGGAGGCATCTGATGATCTATGCATTGGCAAGTGCCAGGAAAACCAAGGTTAGTGGTGTTTGCACTTGGAGTCCTTTGCTTCTGGATATTCACACCCACTGGGAGAAGCCTAAGTCACTTAGGCTTTTTACCAGATAATAAAAAGCTTCCTCTTTGTAGCTGGGGTTGATAAACTTGACCTGTTTGAATACCAGATAGTAACTATACCAGATAGTAACTCTGAAAGCCACAAAGTTTTGGCAACAGGGACTCTGAAAGGAGAGGGTGGGATCAAGTAGAGAATTCATGTGAATTGATTAATTTTTTTATTTTTTATTTTAATGAATCATCATGAGGTACATTTACAGACTTATAGACTTTCATGATTGCGTTTCAGTTAAACAATTTTCAAGTACCCACCCCTCCACCAGTGCCCATTCCCCACCCCCAATGTTCCCAGTATCCCTCCCCCCACCCCCACCCCTTCCCACCTCCTGCCTCTGTGTCCTTTTGGGTGTTATGGTTTGCAATACAGGTAAAAAGCAGCCATCATGTTTGGTCCATAGTCTACTTTCAACATGCATCTACTATTCTGAGCGATCCCTCCAACCATCATTTATTTAGTGTTCCTCTCTCCATCCCAGCTACCTTTTCCCCCAGCGCATGAGATTGGCCATCAAGCTGTGGGGCAGTCCTCCTGACCCTTATTTTAACTGTCCTTAGGTGTTAGTCTCCTATTATGTAACTTTATACTCCACAAATGAGTTCAATCCTTTTATGTCTGTCCCTCTCTTTCTGACTCATTTCACTTAGCATGATACATGTGAACTGATTATTAAGTTGTTATTCAAACAACTGGTCTTCAGCAGCTGGTTAACTTGTCTTTAACTAGATCACTAAGATGAGTGGTTGGGACCAGTAAATACTCCAATAACTTTAACTAGGGAAAAGCAGGAATGGTGGTTAAGTTCTGAAATCACACTCCACAATGCCACTAACAAAGTGGTCTACAGGCCACTAACAAAGTGTTTTTGAAACCCAACCTAGCTAGTCAGCTTAGTCCACTCGCACATAAAAATACCCCCAAATCCACCTTTCCTGAAATCTGAATAGTAAGGCTGATTCACCATCCATGATGAAATCTGCATAGACATTCTAGGCTTGAAACTTACCAAGAAAGGGAGTGGAAACAGTGCGGGCTCCTCAAACAGAGCAAGAGAAAGGTTCACACAGATAAAGACATATGTGGTCACTCGCATCATCCAGTGGTTATACAAATAATAATGTCTAAAGAGGGAAAAATAACAGTAGTGCTTAGCAGGGGACAGCAGCACTCAAACTTACCATTAGGTTAGTAACATCAGGCCCACAGAGATAATACAGAGGTTAAGATACTTGTCCTGCATGAGGCCAATCCTGGTTCAATCCCCGGTACCACATATTATCCCCAAACACTGCTGGGCATAGCCCTGGAGGCCACCAAGCACCATCAGGCTAGTGTAGGTCATCTCTGCCACCACAGCCCCCAAGCAACACCACATCCTCAGGCCCTGGCATTGAAACACTGACCTAGTTGGCCAAGAATCCTCTGGGCTCTTGGGAACCTCTCCCTCCCAATGGCAACAAAAGAATAGCAATAGTATATATAAAAAAAAAACACCACACAGGTTAGGCTTTGGCGACTGTCCTTTAGATACTAGGCAGCAAGGGGCAGATGTTAACTGAGCATGTAGTACAGAACACTAATAGATGGTACTACTGGGTACCAAGCACAACACTGATAGAAAAACATTAAGAATATCTTCATACCCAAGGGTAATGGGACCAAAGAGCATGAGAACTAGTACTCAGTAGGAAACATGCCACTCAATGAAGGGGGAGAGGAAGGTCCATTTAGGGCAGGGAGGAACAATGGAGGGAGGGGAAAACTAGGACAGCGAGGGGCAACATCTAGAGTGATCAAGTGTTAATGCATGAAATCCTACCAGCAACAGTACTGTAAACCACAATACACACACGTGCACACACATACACACACACAGGTGCCTCTTATAAAAGCAGACTGGTGGGTGAGCAGCAAATGGGGGGCATTGGTGGAGGGAAGTGGACACTGGTAAAAAGATTAGTGTTGAAACATTGTAGGCCTGAAACCCAATCATGAATAGCTTTGTAATTTATGGTGGTTAATTTTTTAATTAAAAAAAATGAACACATTCTCTTAAGGGTGCCAAGCTAGGATTAGTACCTCCTCACAGGGTGGGGGTGACAGTGAGAGCACTGAGAGGGCTGTGGGCAGTGGCTCATGTAGAGAGCTCATTACATGGATGGTAGCCTAGCCAGTCGGCGGGGAGTTGGTACAGGGTGTCCCAAGCAGTGTTTAAGGGGCCCAGGAGCTACTCCCAAGGTCTGACCGCTGATGCAGGCCTGATGGTTCAGTTTTTGGGCCTATGCCGCTGGAAGCCAACAGAATCACACATGTATGGGAGAGCCATACATGTTGGGGCTCAAATTGGGGGCTTCACACATGCAAGGCCTACATGCCAGCCTTTTCAGCTGCTGCCCCGGCTTCCAAACCAGTTTAAGGCATTTTATTTTATGCAAAGCACAGGGCTAAAACCTAGATAGCTCCCAATGGAGAAACGAAATATCTTCACAGCTAACTTTAAGAATATTAAGTGTGAAAGGCTGTATAGGACAGGTTTCTCACTCACCTGATGGCCTGAGGAGATGTTTCAAAGGGCACATTTCTGTTGTACTGGGCATCGGAAACATAGGCAGCTGCCAGGAGAAGGTCCTGTCGGCAGTGGAGAGAGAGGAAGGGGAGAACAAAGTCAGAGCAGAAAGAACACTTAGTCTTAAGAAGTCTTGGAAGCCTGTCTCCAGTGTGCAAGGATGCCTCCTTTTGCCTCTCCCTCGTCCCTGTTCTAGCTAGAAGAATCCTAAGTCCTCATCCAGATGTGTTCCCGGCAATGGGAATCCTGCAGTGGCGACGGGCCACGGCGTACTGAACATTCTTCACTGTCACTGTCACAGTCCTTCCGTTGTTCATCGATTTGCTCGAGCGGGCCCAGTAACGTCTCCATTGTGACCATTGTTACTGTGTTTAGCATATGGAATACATCACGGGTAGCTTGCCAGGCTTTGCCATGAGGGCAAGATACTCTCAGTAGCTTGCCGGGCTCTCCAAGAGGGGCGGAGGAAACGAACTCGGGTCGGCCATGTTGACTGCTTGCAAGGCAAATGCCCTACCACTGTGCTATCACTCAAGCCCACTGAACATTCTTAATTAAAATACAGGTTTTCAGAGGAGAAAACACAGGCGAGACAGGTAACACAAAGAGTGAAATGCTTGCCGTGTATGTGGCCAGCCCAGGTAGCGCCGCCAGGAGTGATTCCTGAGCATAGAGTCAGGAGTAATTACTGAGCACTGCCAGGTGTGGCCCCAACCAGGGACAGAGCCCTGTCCCTCAAAAAAAGAAAAAAAGAAATCACTGAATAATATATATGAATGAATCTGTACGTACAAGGGTATGTGTGTATTTATATATCTGCCATATACACAAATATAAAAAGACAAATTTGCATTTTTTGTACTTGATGAATAGTCAGAGGAATTTTAAGGGCTCTTTTTAATTTTTTATTTATTTTTTTAAAGTTACAAATCTTTATTGATTGAGTTACAGTCATACAAGGATCCAACACCCACTCCTTCACCAGTGTGCATTTTCCACCACAATGTCCCCAAGTATCCCTCCCACTACCCCCATCCAAGCCCACCCCCTGCCCCTGCCTCTATGGCAATTTCTTTCTTACTCTCTCTCTACTTTGGGTCATTATGGTTTACAATACATATACTGAAAGGTAATCATGTTTGACCCTTTATCTACTTTCTTTCTTCTTTTTTTTTAAAATTTTTATTAGTGAAACACCATGAGGTAAAGTTGTAGACTTACAAATTTTTGTGCTTAGGCTTCAATTATACAATGATCAAATGCCCATCCCTCCACCAGTTCCCATTTTCCACCACCACAGGTCCCAGTATCCCTCCCACCCTCCCATCCCCTAAGGGCTCTTTTTTTAAAAGCCTTTTTTTCCATGACTTTAAAACTAACTTTTCAAGGCATGTCTCCTGTTTAGAGATACATAAATATTTAAAATAATAAAATCCCCAGCCCCAGCAGACAAAAACCTCTAAAACTCAACCACCACCATGCTCACAGCCACTCTCCACATGCTCGGGCCAAGCCTCACCTCTAAGTGAATCCCCCAGAAAACCAGGGCATGTGGGACTTTGTGACTGAGAACTCTGGGTTCTACGAGACCAGGAATGGAGATCCGCTTCCCGTATTCCCCTGTCTCCAGCAACTCAGCAATCACACCCATAAGCCACCTCTGGATGACACCAGATAATATCATCATTGGCCACCTTTCAGAATGCATGTTCTCTCCTGGAAGGGAGCCTAACATGACGCTTGCCATAACCATGCTGCCAGACCCTGTACCAGGCTGTTTCACTCGGGGCACCCTGGAGGGGGTTGGGTGAGACCACTATCAGCCCCAAGGGACCCAGCCCAGGCAGCCAAAAACCTTCAGAATTTAATTGCTGCCATGCTCGCGACATCTCTCCGCACGCTCGGGCTCAGCCTCACCCACAAATAAACCCATTCCTGTACTGCGTGGCTGCATTAGTGTGCACGACACTTCACAGGACACACCCTACCCATACTCCAATAGTACCACACCACACTTGATGGGGTTCAAAGTAGGAGGCAACAAATCTTAATAACATTGATGCTGAGAAATGTACACTATTGGAGGCATGGGTGTTGGAACACTGTATGACTGAAACCCAATCATGAACAGCTTTGTAATGGGCTATCTCGCGGTAATTCAACAACAACAACAAAAAGCTTTTTAAGTAAATAAAAAATAATTCTGAAAAAAATAACAGACTAAAGAAATTCATGGAAAAGTGTAGGGTCCGAGGCACTTTGGTGGGGGGTGTAGAAATTTTCTATCTTGATCTCATAAACTTTAACACTATTGTAACTTCCTGTAGCACTGTAGCACTGTCCTCCCATTGTTCATCGATTTGCTTGAGGGGGTCCAGTAATGTCTCCATTGTGAGATTTGTTGTTACTGTGTTTAGCATATTGAATTCGTCAAGGGGAGCTTGGCAGGCTTTGCCTTGTGGGAGAGATACTCTCAGTAGCTTGCTCGGCTCTCTGAGAGGGGCAGAGGAATTGAACCCAGGTCGGCTGGGTTGGCCGCATGCAAGGCAAATGCCCTACCCGCTGTACTATCGCTCCAGCCCTTGTAACTTCCTAAACCATAGTAATTTTTAAAGTAAAAAAAAAAGTATTTATTATTTTTGTTTTCTTCCCCTGCCTGCCCTACTTTGCAAGCCGTCATTTCAAGGAAGGTGAGTGACTTAGAAGTCCTTTGGGGTTTGAACGATAGCACAGCAGTTAGGGTGTTCGCCTTGCACACACTGACTGGGGTTCGATTCTCAGCATCTCATATGTTCCCCCGAGCACTGACAGGGGTAATTCCTGAGTGCAGGGCCAGAAGTGACCCCTGTGCATCACCGGGTGTGACCCAAAAAGAACAAAATATATTAAAAAAAAGAAAGTCCTTGAGGAGTGCGGGGGCAGAACCCTCTGAAAGGAGGATAAAGCAGATCTATTACAGATGTTCTCAGTGGGGAGCAGGAAAACTTCTTCCCCAAGCAAATTGCCCACTATCCTATGAGGATAGATAATCCTAAATTCCCTTCAGAGATCTTACCTTTAAGTTAGTCAACAAGAACTTAGAAGATGAAGTTGTTGACAGGTGTGGTTTGAAAAAACCATGTCTCAGTGAGGCATCCATGAGCAATAACATGATTAACCATAACAAGATAAAGAAAAGGCATCACAAGTTTTAAGTTTAATTCTTCCCCATATCAATGTCTCCCTCCATGACTACAAATGCTCTATTTCTGGCTGCCTCTCTTGCCTCCCTTCTTTGCTTTCTTGGGGTACAGGGACAAGTGACTTCCCCAAGCAACTCACACTCAAAATTTTCTAATGACATCACAGCCTGGAGTGCCCACACAATGAAGTGTAAAATCCCCAGCTTAGTATTTGGAGGGACTCCACAATCTCCCCCATTTCTCTCTGCAACTTTGTCCACTGCTTTCATAATACAGAAGCTTCTTCACTGGCCCAAACTGGAGGACTCACTGTCCATTGTCCCACCTGCCCCACCTCTATGCCATGCTCACCCAAAACCAAGAGTAATACTTCCAGAGAGAAGGGGCCCTACTTACATTCCACATTCTACGTGAAGTATGGCAATACCAGTAGTTTCTTTTTTCATACAGAAAGTCACTTAGGAAAAGCAGACTGTGAAGTATATTATGGGCATTCCATGAAGAAACAACTTGTGAGGATAAGCTTGCCATCATGGCAAGTGGGTGAAAGAATGGAGGTTAATTTGGCTTAGTTCACATAGTCCATGTCCTTCCCTAGTGCAGGAAGATGAAAAACCCCCAAGCCAAGGGAAGGGAAGATGAGTTTTGTTTGGCCAAGAGAGTGTTTTATGAATGCTGGCTATTTATTCCAATTTTTTTTCAAAACGGAAACTTACACAAAAAAATTTGAACTTCTGGACTCACAATTGAATCCCAGACCCCACACCGAGCCGACTTCACGGGGCATCCCAGATGGAGCAGATAGCCTCTCCCCACTCACTCCAAATGAACCCCTGGTGGCCATAAACTTCCAGAAGAAAATCCCAGGTACGTTGGACTAGGAACTGAAGACTCCAGGTGACATGGTGGTGGGAATGGCCCATCCCTTCCTGTCCCAGCATCCCTTTGGGGTCCCGGCTGTCACTCCTACAAAGTGCCTCCGGACCCCATTTAAGCAATCAATGGCCTTAATCCTTAATCCTATATCTCAAAATGGACTAACTCCCTACAGAGATATCTCTGCACCCCAATCATTAACAATTCCAGGAGAGCAAGCTGCTGCTTTTGCAGCCACACAACCTCTCATGATATTCATAATAAGTAATAGAAAATAAATCATCTATCATCTGCCTGTGCCAGGCAGCTTTGAATAGTAGTGGGAAAATTTGAAATAGTGGTGGTGGAAAGGTTTGTAATGGTGGTGGGATTGGTGTCAAAATATTGAATGCAATCAATTTATGTGAACTACCTTATAAAAGTTAACTTTAAAATTTTGTTTTAAATTTGAACTTCTAGCTTCTCTTCAAAGATTACAACATCATGTAATGTCAGACTATTTCCATAAGCTTTTGCCACCCACTCTAAAGCTTAGTAACCTAAACAAGCACTCTTTGTTGAGGCTAGAACAAAATTACAGCATGTAGCACACTTGCCTTGCATGTGGCCAACCCGGGATCAATCCCCAGCATTCCATATGGTCCCCCAAGCACTGACAGGAGTAAGTTTTGAGTGCATAGCTAGGAGTTACACCTGAATATTGCCAGGTCTGGCCTCCAAACAAACAAAAAAATACATTGTTTCACTTATTCTGTGGGTTTGACAGTGCCCTTCTGGTCTTGCATGACGACCAATCTGACTCAGATGTCTCAGCCATGTGTATTGCATTGCACTTGGGTGCGGCGATGGGCCAGAGAATAGTAGAGCAGGAAGGGCGCCTGCCTTATACTGGCTCACTTGGGTTTGATCATCGGCACCCTATATGGTCCCCTGACTACCAGGAGTGATTCCCAGAGAACACACCTTATGTGGCCCCCAAACAAACAAAAAACATACAAAAGTAA